GCCTGTCCCGGGGTGAGCGCGGCCGCGAGCACCGCCCAGGTGAACCCGGGCCGGTCCCGACCGCCCGGCTCCGGCCCCGGCCCCGGCCCCAGCCCAGCGCGCGGAGGTTGGACACAGCGGGCGGGAGGGAGGCTTCAGCGCCAGCCTGCCGCAGGGGGATGACCCGTTTGACCCCGCTGGCGGACTGGGTACTCCCCACCGCGCCCCTGACTTGCGGACGCGCCACGCGGAGCCCTGGAGGACCCGGGGAAAGCGCGTCTGGACCCGCCGGCCGCAGGGGGATGGCCTCCTTGACCCCTTTGAGTTTAGACCCAACAGACCGTCTAGAAGCCAGACCACGTGGGGCTTGTCCGGGCAGGACACAGGAAAGCGGTGGACGAGAGCTTCGGAGTGACTGGGAACTCGCAGATACCGAAAGGGCAAAATAGGATTAAAAAGGCAAACTTTATCCCAGGCTGGGTCAGAACCAGTTCGCAAAACCTCGCAGAGGGATGCTCCCCTCCTGGGTCTCCTGAGGATTTCAGAAGTTTGGCGGCGATTTCTAAGAGTGCACTTTGAAAAGAAAATGTTCTTTGTAGTAGTTCATTCATTCATTCATTCTACTAGCATTAATGGAGCACCTCGTGGTGCCGGGCACCGCGCTTCTGTTCCAGGAAAATGTGGTGAGCAGAGCCTGGTTCCACAGCACCAGAAGCTCCCAGTTCCCCTTGAGGGCAGCCTGGGAAAGAGATGGCGTCTTAGGGAGGAAAAAACTAGGAGACACCCACAAATCCTAGTTTGGCACAGCGATCTCTGTCTGAAATTCCCTATCTGCCCAGAGACTGGAGGCCACTCAGCCCTGCACACAGTAGGTGCCTGCACACAGTAGGACAGCGCAGACATTTCTGTTAACAGTTCCCTTCCTCCTCTTCCCCTTCCTGAAAGTTCAGATTCATTCTCTGCCCCCCTCCTCTCTGGACAGTCTTTCCTGCAGCTTGTTTTAATCACTTTTTGAGTTTAAAGTCAATATCTAATTAACCAAGTAATTACATTCAGCTTACGTTCGAATCTGGGTATTTGCACATCTGTGCATGTCGGGACACCCACCCCCTCGCCTCTCCATCTGTCCCCTGCCTCTCCCACAGTGCGGTCCCCCTCCCTGGGGCAGAGAAGGGAGGCTGCTCCTGAGCAGGCAGGTTCTCTGGGGGGACGTGGAAGCAGGTAAGATGGACTTCCCCTGGAGGACTCCCCGGGTCTCCCTGGAGCAGGAAGTTACTCCCATCTCGCCTTGTAGTTCACAGCGAAGGGGATTTCTCATTGCGTCTCTGCTACCCATTACAGAACCTCTGGAGGGTTGTAATTAAATTGAAGCCATTTGTTAGGTATAGAAAGGGGTTGGGGAGGACGGGCTGAAGACCACTCACCTTGTAAGAGAGGTTCTCCCAGCTTTGCTTGTCCACGTCATGGAGAAAAAGCTCATCAAAACAGCCTGTCCCGGTGTGTAATTTAGTGTTGTAATAAGCAGCTGAAAGGGCCATGGTCGCGATCTTGGCTGATGGCACGTTGACATTTGCACATAAAGGATCTCCCTTCCTTGGGCCAAGTTTATGTACATAAATACATGATGTTGGTTGGTCTCACTGCTCAGCTCAGGGTCAGTGTGGGTTTGGGCTTTGGGCTTGGTGTATGTTGATTGGGGTTTTTTGTTTGAATTTATGGCTTTTTCTAAAACCCTAATAACATGTTAGGTTTTCAAACTTAAGAGTTGAATGATGAGTTGATTATAAAAAAGCTAGGCTTGGAGGAAGACAGCGTGGCTGTGTGTGAGACCGTGTGTGTGTGCGCATGCACACATACATGTCCGTGTGTGTCCCCCACCCAACAGCTCTGTTCAGCTGCCATCCTGAGGACCTGGCTGATGTGCGATTGCACACCGTGACACTTGAAGTGCGCCTTGTGATTTGGAAGATAGCATTTCCCTCTTCCTTTTCCTGGATATGTTCACTTTATCTGTTTGGACTTGCCTCAGGCAGCAGCTTCTGGTCTCCTGAGTTAGGCAAACAGGTAATATGCCCCACTCTGTCAAGTCAGTTCTTAGACTTAGTCCCCTTAGAGAGAGACCAAGAGTCTGTCCCGCCGAAGAATAACAGCATTTCTGAGCAGCTTGTGGTTGAAGGGCTTAGTCTATCTAGACTTAAGGTGATAGATCACACTGATGTAGTGTATTTGGGACCAAGCATTCTTCTAAGCCTTTCCCCACGACTCATGGAGTCCATACAAAAGCCTGTGAGGTGGCTCCTTTGTTGTCAGAGATGAAGGAAGAAGCCCAGAGAGGATCGTGGCTGGTCCACAGCTGATCAGTGTTAGAGCGGGAATTCGCGAGGCCCCAGGGCTCCAGAGTTCACTCTGACCCGGTGCCCTCTCCTCCCTCTGCGACCTTGGCCTTTTTTCCAAGTGTAGAAGAAACACATGTACAGCAGAAGAAAATGCATTCAGGCGAAACTCTGAAAGGCGGAGGCTCTTCAGTAACCCCACTTCTCTCCAGAAACCTCCACCCTGTGGGGATGGGGGGGCCGTGCCCTGAAGCAGATGTGCACTTGCCTCTCCCCGCGAGTACGTACACACAGCCCCCCAGTCAAGATGCAAAGGGAAATGTCACATGTGGCTGCCAGAAAAAAAAAGCCGTGAGGCCTGAGATGAAGGTTCGCTCCCTCTGAAAGCACAAGGCGAGAGGGTTAACATTCTCCCAGACGTGCAGCCCTCTTGTGGTTGATGATGGAGTCGCAGTGGCCTGTCCCTGAAGAGGTGAGGTGACCCTGGAGACCAGAGCACTCTATTTCAGGCTTGGGCCCTGTGCACCCAGTATAGACATGGAAGGTGGAGCCTCTCCATGCTGACCTGCGGGTGAGGGAGGCCTCACCCGGGCCTGCCTTCCATGAGCCTCCTGGTGTTGGGCCCTGGTGGGAAATCTGCAAAGCCCCTGATCCAGATTCAAGGCGCTATGTAATTGGAAGATCATTATAATTAATTGGCATCCTGATAAATGGCATGATTGCCTAATTGGGGTGGTTGCTAGGGAACTAGGCCTCACTTGGAAGCGAAAGGGGAAGAGGCGTTGGGCTGGCCTCAGTTGGGCAGTAGGGTTACAGACCCAGCCGTTCATGGGAAGGGAGAGCAGGCTTCACCCACACCTGCTGCTGTTTACTGAGCAGCTGCTGTATGCAAGTCACAAATGGAATATCAGGGGTATTTTCTTAGAAGTAGGCTGTAGAGTAATCAGAATTCTCGGAAGCAACAGAAAGAAAAAAATCTAAACTAGCATAAGGAGAAAAGAAGGGGACTTCTTAGCTTACACAAGTAAAAAAGGCTAAAGGTAACTCTAGCTTCAAGCACAGCTCGAGTCGGGGCTCAGAATTTTTTAATGAAAGTCTGTTGTTCTCCACATCTGCTTTTCTTTCCACGGGGCTGGTTTCTCTCTCCAGCTCCGAGAGGTGGGCAGGCTCGGGCACCGCAGTTAGGAGAACCAGACTGCCTGGCTGCCTGCCCGGCAGTGTGATCTAGGGAGCGTTACTTAACCTTTCTGTGTCCCAGTGTTCTCCTCTGGCAAATGATGATCGTGGCACCTATCTCCTGGTTCGTGGTAAAAAATGAAATGAGCTGATCAACGTCAAGTGCTTAGCATCGCATCTGACACAGGCAAACCCGCAGTAAACGTTGGTTGTTATCGTGGTTGAGGTGTCAAGCTGGCTGTTGCAGAGCTGTCCTCTCTGGTTTAAGGCCAGCAGGAAAGAGCAAGCTTCTTGTACTGCCCGCCCAAGCCTCCAGCGTCCATCTCATTGGGCTGTTTTATTTCATATGCTCCAAACCAATCCCTGGCCAAGAGAATGAGCCCCCAACAGTGGGCTTGGGCCAGGCTTCCAGACCCATCCTTGGGGCAGACCAACTGGACCCCACAGCCCTGGAGAACTCAGCAGGGATCCCAGTGAAAGGCACCTTAGTTGCTAGGGAAGCTAACATCCAATGCCTATGACGGGCAGGGGACAGGGCACCCTTGTGAGAGATGGTGCTCAGCTGGAACCGACACCATTTTGGTCAAGGTGAGGACCATGGAAACAGCTGCTGGGTGGGCAGCTTCTCCTTTCTCTTCATTGGGGTCAACGGGCATTGGATGCCTGACTTTTCTGCCTGAGTGTCAGGAATATGCAGCCTGGCCTTGATTCTGTGCTTCCTGGTAGCCGGGGGCAGTATTTGCCCAACCTTCCACCGTGAGAACCATCTGAAAGTATTTGTTTAAAAAAATGCAAAGTCCAGACCCTATTGAATCGAGCTCCAATAGGGTCTGGATGCTGGCGCGTG